ATGGAATCTTTCAAGTCACAGTAACTAAATTATAAAGATCAGAATATTTTTACCATCATTTGATATCTTTACACTGAGCCAGTATACATGTGTGAAATGATGAAATATATGATAATGATCTATCTGATAAAGTCAAAGAAATATAAACTCATATGTCTATCTGTTAACACCCTGGTATTTAAAATACAGACAGGATAGATTGAATGGATGAATGAACTTAAGAATGAATGAAAGAACAGGAATGAATAGAAAAAAGTAAATTTTGTTGACATATCCTCAATAAAACATGTAGACCTTCTTAACCAGCTGACAGAGCTCAATTAAAGTTATTTGTATTACTTTTCATGATGAAAATATGACATTTAGTACTTCTGCAATTCAATAAAAGTGTATCAACACTTGAACAAGTAACAATGTATTATCAGTAATAATTGACAGACAATATTAACAATGACTTTATCACAGGTAATGACATATTGGATGCAGTTTGATTCAACATGAGTCTATTTTGTATAGTTACAAACAGAATGATTTTTGTGTCCTCCACCCAACTCCCCACATCCGTCAAACATATCAGAACAATTTTATGGTGTGAAATGTCATTTATTTTGCATGACCACAAGAATATGAGAAACATAAAATATTGGTGTAAAACTTACACTACATAAAACAACTCAAATATCTAATAATGCTCATATTCCTGTTGGGCTAAAACAATAATGATAAAATACGCCCAACAGGATTCAAATTCACTAAAACATTTATAGCAACAAATTGAAAGGAGGGAGGCAAGGGGAGGTGGGGGGTAGTTTAAAAACTGCAAAATTACAACAAGTGTTTCAGTTGGGGTTTCTTGAAGAATGACCCGGATGTTGTTTTATTAATAGTATGCAGAAAATAACCACACACCACAGGATTGGTTGAAACACAAAACGTATTATTTACAATAATATTTATTTGTGTCCTCCACCCAACTCCCCACATCCGTCAAACATATCAGAACAATTTTATGGTGTGAAATGTCATTTATTTTGCATGACCACAAGAATATGAGAAACATAAAATATTGGTGTAAAACTTACACTACATAAAACAACTCAAATATCTAATAATGCTCATATTCCTGTTGGGCTAAAACAATAATGATAAAATACGCCAAACACAGCCCCAGCTGTCATGCCCAAACAAGACACACATACATCAAAATAAATACATAAACACAAAAATCAACAGATCGAAGTAATGGCAATAGCAGTCATAATAAAAACAATTATACAAAAATAACATATTATAAATGGATTAATTGAACAAAAGACTAGTAATTAAAGGACAAAAGGTTTATGTTCTACAACATTAGCCAAAAAGTAGTAACTAAAGAGAAAAAGGGCTATGTTCTACAACATTAGCCATAAAAAGGTCTACATATCGCACTCGGAAAGGAGTTTCAAAGAGACAAAGAGGGAACGCGGATATAAGATTGCAATGCATTACTTTGCCAACGCCCCATAACACGAATTGCCTCTTCTGAATGACCCTGTAAGAAAGCGGTAGTTGCAGCCCCAATTCTAAATGAATGAAGTTTGTATAACTCAGCGTTCAATCCAATGAAAATGACTAATTTTCTCAAATACTGATTAACAAAATTATACGTAACCACTAATCCATCAGGAAACTGAAACAAAGGGCCTGTTTTGTGTGGACACGACTGCATATACGTTAAT